AATTGATTATATTTTTTAAGACAAGTCAGACGACAGCCCACAGGTTTGAATCTGCTGGTGGCTGACGTAGCTCATGGTACTGATGGCATTCCCCTGGCGTGGATGACGAGGCTCCCCGCCTGCTTCCTTCTGGGGGGACCCAGCGTTTGTGACAGAACAGACACGGCAGAAAAGGCCTCGCTCGGGGTGAGGGGGGCAGAGTGAGGGACCCTCTGGGCCAGAGCCAGTGGCAATCTCCGATTTCAACAGTGGCCATCTGCAGCTTAGTCAAAAAACATCAGAAAGGAGCAGTCGGCGCACTGGACAGCAGCACAGGGCGCCCAAGGTCAAGTGCGAGGCTCAGAATCCTGCAGTGCAGGCCGGCTGGATGCCACCTTCATACAGCTGAGAGGATCTCCATGATGACTCACCCTCTGCCATGAACGAGGGCACTTAGAAATGACGTCCAGCTGGTTTCTCCTTCACACCCGCCCCAGACATCATCAGGATGGGGCCATGACACAGGACGAGTTATGGGAAACAGGGAAGGTGACACAGATCTCTTGTCCACGCAAAGCAGTCTACCAAGGAAGCGCCTCGTCTCCGCAGATGGGGGCTGGTCCATGGTCCAGGCTCTGCAGGCCTGCCAGGCAAGGCTAGAACTGCAACCTCAAGATGCAAGGTCACTGCTTTTCTTTCTTTTTCTAGAATTTGTACTGTGGTAAATGCACGTCACATGAAATTTACCAGTTTAAAGTAGAAAGCTCAGCGGTGTTAAGTACGGTCATAATAGGCAGCCCTCACCACCATCCGTCTCGTAACCTTTTTCATCTTCTAAAACTAAGTACCCACTAAACTAACTCCTCATTTCTCTTTCTCTCAGCCCCTGGCAACCACCATCTTGTTTTCTCTCTCTCTCTCTCTCTCTCTCTCTCTCTCTCTCTGTGCGTGTGTGTGTGTGTGTGTGAATTTGACTGCTTGAAGTACTGCTTGAAGTGGAGTCACAGTATTTCTCCTTAAAAAAGAAAAAGACGTATTTATTTAAAAAGAGTTACAGAGAGGGAGGGAGAGAGGGAGAGACGGAGAGACAGCGTGACAGAGACAGAGAGAGACAGAGAGAGAGAGAGAGAGAGGTCTTCCATCTGCTGATTCACTCCCCAAATGGCTGCAACAGCCAGAGCTGGGCCAGAATGAAGCCAGGAGCCAGCAGCTTATACTGGGTCTCCCACAGGGGCGCAGGAGCCCAAGCACTTGGGCCATCCTCCACTGCTTCCCCAGGTGCATCAGCTGGGAGCTGGATCGAAAGTGGAGCAGCAGGGACTTGAACCAGTGCCCACCTGGGATGTGGCGCTGCAGGCAGCAGCTTAACCCACTACAACACAGCAGCGGCTCCACATTATTTCTCCTTTTGTGGCTGGCTTCTTTCTCTTGGTGTATTGTCCCCAAGGTTCATCCATGGTATGTGTCAGAAACTCCTTCCTTTTAGGGCAGGACAGTGTCCCACTGTGTGAACACATTACGTGTTGATGGGCACTCGGGCTGTGTCTGAACCTCAGCTACTGTGACGACAGCTGCTGGTTTTCCCAGCAGCACCCAGCGTTCACGTGGGGAAGGGCAGTTCGTGGTGGTGCGTGACATCATGGTGGACTTGCTGTGCTTGCTGGCCTGGAATGCTCTATCTTGTTTTCTGTTCTAGGGCAAGTGCTGGAGTGGCTCTTGATCAAAGAAAGAGAGACAACCATGGAGACAAGTAGACCTTGAGATGAGAAGTCCAGTAGAAATGCGACAGAATGCTCCCTGAGTTCCACAGCAGAACAGAGAAGCGGGACCTGCTAGGCGGGAATTAAAGGACTTCCAGGCGGAAGAGACATTCTTTAAAAAAAAAAAAAGACTTATTGATTTATTTACTTATTTATTTGGAAAGGCAGAGTTACAGAGAGGCAGAGGCAGAGAGAAAGAGAAAGAGCGGTCTTCCACCCACTGTTTCACTCCACAAATCGCCACAACAACCAGGGCTGGGCAAGACCAAAGCCAGAAGCCAGGAGCTTCATCCAGGCCTCCCACGTGGGTGCAGGGGCCCAAGCACTTGGGCCATCTTCTGCTGCTTTCCCAGGTGCATTACCAGGGGCCAGGATTGGAAGTGGAGCAGACAGGACTTGAACTAGTGCCTACCTGGGATGCCGGCACTATATGCAGCAGCTTGACCTGCTGTGCCACAGTGCCAGCCCTGAGAAGAGACCTTCTAAGTGAAAGCATGCACTACATCCTGGCTACTCAGAGTGCAGGCCACAGGCTTGCAGCATTGACATTCCTGGGAGCTTCTAAGAAACACAGAGGGGCCGGCGCTGTGGCACAGCGAGTTAACACCCTGGCCTGAAGTGACGGCATCCCATATGGGCGCTGGTTCTAGTCCAGGCTGCTCCTCTTCAGATCCAGCTCTGCTATGGCCTGGGAAAGCAGTAAAATATGGCCCAGGTCCTTGGGCCCCTGTGCCCATGTGGGAGACCTGGAGGAGGCTCCTGGCTTCGGATTGGCGCAGCTCCGGCCACTGCAGCCAATTGGAGAGTGAACCATCGGATGGAAGACCTCTCTCTCTTTCTCTCTGCCTCTCTTCTCTCTGTATAACTCTGACTTTAAAATAAATAAATAAATCTTAAAAAAAAAAAAAGAAAGAAACACAGAATGGCAGGTCCCAGCCCAGAGCTGCTGAACCCGAGTCTGCATCCCAACCAGATCCCAGGGTGCTTTACATGCACATTATAGTGTGGGGGAAAAATAAAAAGACTGGCACTCCACCACGACATAAAGAGCTGGTGACTGTGGGACTCCTAAAATGTTTCCATGACCCAGAAGGAAGCAGCTGAGCCCAGCAGGCCACGCCTCCCAGGGTTCCCAGGGCCGGAGCTGTGTCACAGCCTTTCCAGGACATAATCAGACTAAGGGTCCCCTGGGGCACCAGCGCACAAACTATGGAAATCAGATTTTCCTCTGAATCAAGCCTGACGGTGTGTTTTAAATAGACTTGGAAATGCCAGAGAACCCCACCTGCTCAAGAAAAAGACACGAAAACAAGCCAGAGAAGTTGCCAAAGGTAGGAGATGCAAAACAGATACAGTTACACTCAAGACCGAGAGACAGAGAGAGAGACAATGGACTGAGGAGCTGGGGGCTGAGAAAGGAAAGAAAGTAGGGAAGGAGAGAGAGAGGGAGGGAGAGAGAGAGAGAGAGAGGAGGGGAGGAGAGGGGAGAGGAGGGGAGGGGAGGAGGCAGGGGAGGGGAGGAGGTGGGTGAGGAGGAGGTGCCCCAGGGAAGCAGAGAGATCTAGGGAGAAAGCTGGCAGAGCCATCAAAGAATACAAGGTGGGGAAGGAACAGGTGGGAAAGAAACGAGAGAAAGAGGGGAACAGACGAAGTCAGGAGAGAAACAGAAAGGGGGGTAGGGAGATGAGGAAGGGAGAGAAAGGGAAGAGAGAAGTGGAGGAGATGAGCTTACGAGAGCCGAGGGAGGCAGATGATGCAGAGCAGGACAGGAGCAAGAGAGGAGAAAGCAGAGGCAAAGAAGGACGTAGAGATCTGTGGGTAGGAGGACAGAGAGCAGAGAAAATGGAGGGAGGGAGGGAGAGATTAGAGCAGGAGTGGAAACACAGGTGCTGTGACGAGAACTTGCTCGAATGCTTTGCTCTCGGTGGTCCCTGGATCATCAGGTACCAACCAGGTAAGAACCCTTCCCTGCTAAAGAACCCCAAGGACCGGCGGGCGCCGCGGCTCACTAGGCTAATCCTCCGCCTTGCGGCGCCGGCACACCAGGTTCTAGTCCCGGTCGGGGTGCCAGATTCTGTCCCGGTTGCCCCTCTTCCAGGCCAGCTCTCTGCTGTGGCCTGGGAGTGCAGTGGAGGATGGCCCAAGTGCTTGGGCCCTGCACCCCATGGGAGACCAGCAGAAGTACCTGGCTCCTGCCATCGGATCAGCACGGTGCGCTGGCCGCAGCGCGCCGGCCGTGGCAGCCATTGGAGGGCGAACCAACGGCAAAGGAAGACCTTTCTCTCTGTCTCCCTCACTGTCCACTCTGCCTGTAAAAAAAATAAATAAATTAAAAAAAAAAGAACCCCAAGGACATCAAATCACTCATTAAAAAAAAAGGATTTATCTGTTTGAAAGGCAGAGTGACAGAGAGAGAGGGAGGGAGACAGTAAGAGAGAATCTTCCATCCCCTGGCTCATTCCCCAAAGTGCCACAAAGTCCAGGGCTGGGTCAGGCTGAAGCCTGGAGCCCAGAGCTCCATCCCAGTGTCCCCCACATGGGCGGCAGGGGCCAAAGCATTTGGGCCATCATCTGCTGCCTCTAAGGCACATTAGCTGGGAGCACCAGGACTCCGGCTGGTGCTCACAGGGATGCCGGCATGCAGAGGCTTAACCCGCTGTGCCACCGTGCAGTGCCCTCAACTCACTTTCCCAAAAGTCTTCACTTCATTTCCCATCCAGCCCCAGCCCCCATCTCCACCCAGCGGGGACCTTGTTTTCTGACATTCCTGTGCCGTCTGCTCCCTGTGTTGGCCACCTCATGCCTCCTTCCTGGCAAGAAGGCTCACTGCAGACCACACAGACGTGTACAGAGCACACCAGAGCCACAGAGTGCACGGAGCCTTCTGCAGCACAGGTGGCACTGCAGGGCCACAGCCGAGTCTCGACGAGGCTGACGGCGCTGAGATCACGGGGCGGGAGGCATCTGCTCCAACTGCAGCGGCGTGGAGACCGGGAAACTTCCAAATATGCACTTCACGTTAAACAAGGAGTCAGAAGAAGAATTAAGGAAGTAGCTCGAAATAAACAAAAATGGAAACACCACGTGCGGCAAAAGCAGCTCTAACAGGAAAGCGGCTCAAAATGGATTAAAGACAAACCTAAGACCCGAAACTACAAAATACGAGAAGAAAACCTAGGAGAAAAGCTTCTTACATTGCTAGGGGCAATGATTGCTTTTTCGGATAAGACTCCAAAAATCACGGGCAGCAAAGGCAAAACTGACAAATGAGGCTGCACTAACCTAAAAAGTTTACGCACCACAAAGGAAATGATTAACAGAAGGAAGCCAACCCAGGTAGTGAGAGAAAATACTTGCACACCATACATCAGATAAGAGTGCAGGGGCCCAAGCACTTGGGCCATCTTCCACTGCTTTCCCAGGTGCATTGGCAGAGAGCTGGACAGGAAGAGGAACAGCCTAGAAATGAACTAGCACCCATAAGGGATGTTAGCACCGCAGGTGGAGGCTTAGCCAGCTCCTCTTCTGGCTATTGAGTCGTTTGAGTTCCTTTTTAGATATTAAATTCTGAGCCAGCAGACGAGAGCTCTTGTTCTCTGTGTCTCTAATTCATTACTTAACCAATGAATTCATTATAAAAATCTGCTTGAGGCTGCACAACTGACAGGAGCCAGGATCTGAACCTGGTACCCTTTGACTCCACGTCCTGCATTGCTGGCCACCCCTTGGTGCCTCTGGTCCCCGTGAGCCCTTCCCCTCACACAGCCACAACAGGCAGAAGAAAAGACATAACACATCCACAATGCATACAAAATAGTTTATTTTTACTCCCTGGTAAAACAGCTCCCCTGCACTGAGTTAGCAAAATGTTACATTTTTTTTAATCCCATCTTTTTGCTTTAGTTACACTAATTGCCCTTCTTGGTCTGTAATTTTCGAATTCTCATTTTCCACTTGCAGTCTACCATGTAAGCTGTGTTGATGAGCAGAGACATCCGTAGCCAGTGTAAAGTGGTCTGTTCCACCTGTTCTCTCTCCGCCCTCCCTGGTGGTAGGAGTCACAGCAGCCTGGCCACAGAAACTCTGGGGTTCCATGCCATTTTGCTTCTAGAAAACTCACTCCTCTCCCCGACAGCTGTATCCTCACTGTAGTCTTTCCAGTGAGCAGGAGGGCCAAAGAGTCTGGGAGGAGACGGCGATGGCAGCAATCCAGACTTGCTGAGAAGGCCACCTGTGGCATTTGCAGACAGAGGAGCAGAGAGCAGTTTCCAGAGCCCTCACTGCTGTACACTGAGTGCACCATTTATTAGGTTACCGGGAAGGGGAAGTGTGACGCCTTCACCCCCCTCCTCTGCTGGGATGGCTGCCAAATCGCTTCCTGGGCTCTGTTAATCTCGCCCAGAGGCAACACGGCAGAGAGCGATTGAACATGAGGTCCAAATCCAGCTTTGCTCTGTCCTGTGTGTCCTTGGAAAGGTTGGCCAACCTCTCTGCACTTCATGTTCCCCATCTATGAAGTAAGGTAACGAGGCTGACTGGGCAAAGAAGTTAGAACAGTGTCTGTCACATTGAAAGCTCCAAGTGTGGCCAGCGCCACGGCTCACTTGGCTAATCCTCCACCTGTGGTGCCAGCACCCCCAGGTTCTAGTCCTGGTTACAGCACTGGGTTCTAGTCCCGGTTGCTCCTCTTCCAGTCCAGCTCTCTGCTGTGGCCCAGGAAGGCAGTGGAGGATGGCCCAAGTGCTTGGGTCCTTGCTGCATGGGAGACCAGGAGGAAATACCCGGCTCCTGGCTTCGAATTGGTGCAGCACCGGCCATGGTGGCCATTAGGGGAGTGAACCAACGGAAGGAAGACCTTTCTCTCTGTCTCTCTCTCACTGTCTAACTCTGCCTGTCAAAAAAGAAAAAAAGAAAGCTCCAGGTGAATGCTTACTATAAACGAGCCAGGCTGACAGGTAAATCAAAAGGGTATGAAGATCCCAAAGGACTGATGAGAACTCCAAGCAGCAGATGTCTCGGGGCTGGTGTTGTTTTGCAGTGGGTTAAGTCATCACCTGAGATGCCAGTATCCCATAGCAGAGCACAGGTTCAAGTCCTGGCTGCTGCTGCTGCTTCTCCTCCTCCTCCTCCTTTTGTGTTTTATTTATTTGAGAGGTAGAGTTACAAATAGAGAGAGGGAGAGACAGAGAGAAAGAGCTTCCGTCTGCTGGTTCACTCCCCAAATGGCCGCATTCTGAAGCCAGGAGGTAGCAGGTTCTTCCAGGTCTCCCACACTGGTGCAGGGGCCCAAGCACTTGGGTCATCTGCTGCTGCCTTCCCAGGCCATAGCAGAGAAAGATCAGAAGAGGAGTAGCCTGGACCTGAACCGGCACCCCTATGGGATTGCTGGTGCCGCAGATGGAGGCGTAGCCCACTGCATCACAGTGCTGGCCCCTGCTCTGCTTCTGATCCAGCTACCTGCTGATGCATCTGGGGAGGTAGCAGGTGACGGCTCCAGTACTCAGGTCCCTGCCAGCCACATGGGAGAGCCAAATGGATTCCCTAGATCCTCGCTCAGCCTCACCCAGCCATTACAGCCATTTGAGGAGTGAACCAGTAGATGGAAGATTGTGTGTGTGTGTGTGTGTGTGTGTGTTTGTGTGTGTGACTCTACCCTTCAAATAAAAAAGAGTTAAAAAAAAAAGCAGTAATCTGTTCCCACACAGGGACACAAAGAGCATGGTGGCAGTGGTCCCTCAGTCTCCCATCGCTACCCTGCACACCTCCTTCCTGCCTTTCCTCTGTCTTCATGTCTTATGTTGAATGACAAAGCAGGTGATATGCCTATATCCGGTCACATCATAATAGTAGCTTACTGTGTCAATAGCCCTGGATCTGGCCACTGAGTGCCTTTCTCCTCTCAACAAGCAGGTCAGCCACACATCAGCATCTTCACCTGCTGGGGAGGTTGCAGGGATTATGTTTGTGTCTAAGAGCCAGGTGCAGGAAAGAGGACAGAGTGAGCCAGCGATGAAGGGAAGACCACCAGACCGTGCCTTGGAGCTTTCTACCGTGGTGGGGATGTGCCTGTGGTCTCCACCAGGAAATCCATGACTCCAGGCACGAAGTGTGCGGGGGCAGCACCTTCTCACAACCTCCTTTGTTTTCCTGGGTTCCTGTCTGGGCATTTGATGATCAGGCATCTCTATGGCTTCTGTGAACTGCGGAGGGGAGGGCACGACACAGCACAGACACAATCACCTGTTTCCACTGAGCAGTGCAGGAGTCTGGAACACACACTCTCCTCTCTCACAGACTTCCCAGCTTCAAGCCTACCCTGCCACCTGCTAGATCTGTAACTTTGGGAAAATTATTTTTAAGATTTACTTTATTTGAAAGGCAGAGTGAGGGGGTGGGGAGACAGAGAGAGATCTTCCATCTACTGATTCACTACCCAAATGGCTACAATGGGTGGGGGGTTGGGCCAGGCTCAAGCTAGGAGCCTGGAACTCCATCCAGGTCTCCAATGTGGATGGCAGGGGCCCAAGCACTCAGGCTGTCTTCCATTGCCCTCCCAGGCACATTAGCAGGGAGCTGGCTCGGAACCAGAGCAGCCAGGACTCAAACCAGCACTCCTATACAGGACGACGCAATCTCAGGTGGCAGCTTAATTTAGCACTGTGCGACAACACCTGCCCTGGAGAAACTGTTTTAATTCTCTGTGTTTCCAGTTCTTTATCTGTCCATTCTCCTGACAACATTCAGCATTTATTGAATACCTGCAAGGATATTTCAAAAAGCTCACGGGGTGGGCATCACATGGGATAATGATGCCCATATCCCACATCACAGTGCCTGATTTTGAGCCCCGACTCCCTGTTAGCGCACACCCTAGGAGAGGCGACATGACGACTCGAGTACCTTGGTCCCTGCCACCCACAATGGAGACTAAACTGAATTCTCAGCTCCTGGCTGTTACCCTACACAATCCAGCAGTTATGGGCATTTAAGGAACGAATCAATGGATGAAAGTCCACACCTCCAAAAAAATAATAAATAGAAAATTTTTCATAGCTCAGGGAAAATGGAATTAAAGAGGAAGTTTGTTTTGGTGCCAAAAAAAATCAAATTCCTACATTTATGGAGTCTTCAAAAAGCTTATGGAAAATGCATTTTATGACAAAAAAAGCAATGTATGGATATCAAGATTTTTTGCACCCAGTTTAAACTTTAATCCCATCTTCCATGAACTCCTAAAGGCTCCTCATTTATCTGCCAGGCAGCACTCTGGGCCATGGGGGCCTCGGGAGTGAACCAGCAGGGAAAGACGCCAACTCCCACCTTCCTTGTGCTTCCTCCCCGCCGGATGGATACAGAGGACACACAGGAAAGGAAGGGCAATGCCGGGTGCATGAGAGACAGTGAACTCAAGTGCGGAAGGGAGAAGTAGGCTGCGTGCATGGAGAACGAGGGGGAACTGGCAGTGTTCAGGCGAGGAGGAGGGTGGCGCCGCAGCTCTGAGGGAAGAAGCATGTGGCCATCTGCAAGAGGGGCGCCCGAGGGGGTGTTAACAGCAGGTGCAAAGGCCCTGGGGCAGGCTTCTGCCTAGTGTGTTCCAGGTAGGCAGTGTGACTGATGTGAACTGAGCAGGGGGTGTGAGGAGGGGGGCACGCTAGGGACTCTGAGTTGGAAGTGAGGCTGGAGGGGGGAGTCTGAGCAGACACACAATATAACATGACTTACATCTGTACAGTGTTCAGAATGGATTTGAGACAGCGGGGAGGGGTAGGGGGTGGGGGGGAGATCTGGGCAGGAGTGGCCAGCAGGGGGCTGCAATCACAGGACTGGACCAGGGTGGTACTGACGGAGGGGCAGCAAGCGGTGGCCTTTGAAATGTGCACAGCACTTTCCAGACGCGCTGCTCATTCATGGTTCACAAAGGACCTGCAGGAGGCGGGGGTCACCATCTCCCCTTTTCACAAAGGAAGACTGGGAAGCCGAGCACCAGCTTAAAGCCAGACAGCCAGCACATGGACAGGCAAGCGGAGGGCTCAGGTCTCCCGGATCCTAACCCTGAGTCTCAGCCCCTGAGGGTCCAAGATGGGAGAGGACTGACTTTCCAAGGCTCCCAGCCCAGAGCTGATCAGGACTTCAGAATAGAGGTGGCGGGGGGGGGGGGGGAGGAAAGGAAGAAAGAAAAAGAAAAAGAAGGACTGAGAGGCACAGAGAGCCGGCATCACAAACCCCAGTGCTTTGCAGACAGGGATCTGGACCAGGGCATTTCTCTTCCCTGGAGGTTGTAACTGGAAACTTCACTAGATGTGTGACTCAATTCAGAAATGGGTGTGGAGGATGTGACACTTTAAAAATACCCCGGTGCCAGGCTTGGCAGTGACTGAGAAAATGCCACCCCGAGACTCGGGGCATCTGCACACCGGCTGACAGGCGGGAGGAATTCTGCAAGCAGAGCTCAAACTCGGAAATACACGAGGACACTGGGCGCCCATGAAGCTCGCCTGCGCAGCCCCAGCAGGTCCAGACCCCCGGGGGCCGGCTGCCTAGCTGCGTCTGCACTGGATGGGAATTGGCATGTTACCTGTAAGCCCCAAACAACCTCGCAAACCTGCATCTTCAGGTGTCTCTGCAGCTCAGTCAACACCACCACAGCCCACTCAGTGCCTCCAACCAAACACCTGGGCAGGCGGGGTCCTTGACTTCGCATTCCCCCTTGTCCCCAGGCTCTGATGTCTCTAGGCGCTGTCTACTCTGCCTGCAAGATGGCTCTCTCGTCTGTTCGTGTCTCTCCACTTCCGCGGATAAAAGCTCAGCTTCGGTGTCACCACCTCTCGTATAAGTCCTGCCACAGCCTTCTGATTTTTTTTTTTTTTTCCCTTTGTCTCTCTCCAACCCACACGGCAGCCAGCGGGAGCTTCTGAAAACGTGATGTGTGAAGCTGAGCAGGTGCTGCCCCTGTTTCAATGGCTCCAGGGCTGCCTGGTATTCTTAGAATAAAAGACCAGCTCTATCCGGCCTGTAAGATCACGCACCATCTGGGTGCGGACTCCTTCCCCGGTATCTGCTCGCACCGTCTTCCCCTACACCGCCCAGCTGTCCAACCCCTGGGCCTCTTTCAGGATCATGGACAACTACAAATGCCTTCCCTTCTCTGCACTTTGCAGTTAAGTTCCCCCTGCCTGGAACTTTCTCCGTCCCACGCCCCCTATGACCGCTTCCTTCTCCCCCTTGAGCTCCCTGCCTAAGCACAATACCCTCCATGGGAAGGCTTTTCCACCTGCTCCTACAGCCCCAGTGGCCCAGCCTCAGCTCTGCTGACACGTGGGGCCACCTTTTGCATTGTGCGGGGTTTAGCTACCTCCCTGGCTTCCATCCACCAGAGACCCTTCACTCTTCCTGCCACGGGACGACCACCGTCTTGACATTGCCAACTGTCTCTGTCTTGTAGGGTGGGACTAGGCAAGTCACTGAGCGTTGAAGACCACTGTCCCTGGGCAGCGCCTACGCACCTCATCTGCCTTTCAGCTCTTTGCTCTTTGGCCTACCTGCATACACTTCACATTCTCTGTAACTGTGTGTGAGTTTGTGGAACTTAACCCCCCTCCTTGACTCCACCTCCCATTAACACCCCCTATACACACTCTCCTGGACCTCAGATTCCTGTCTGTCCTTCCACTTTGGGTTCAGGTGTCTCCATCACGATCAAGGTTGGTGATCCTCTCTCCTAGAGCCTCAGACCTCCACGCCGCACTTACCACCTTTAAACACTGAGTTGTCCTTATTCGTTTCACGTCTGCCTTCTCCGTTAATCTAGGGCAGGGGTTCACATATTTCTGGACCCCTCGCACTAAGCAAAGAGCCTAGCAAATAGCATGTGCTCGATACAGGACTTTTTTTGGCTTTAGAAATACTGCAACACAATTCTAGAATCACACAGACCTGAGTGTCAGTGTTGACTCGCCCCTAATTTGCTGGACAATATTAAGCAATTTATGATTCCTTGTCTCAGCCTTGGTTTTCTGTCTCTTATAAAAGAGACACAGCTGTATCTTCCTGAGAGTGTCACTAACTGGTCTGACACGTGGCTATCACTCAACAAATGGTATCTTTTTTAGTGTCCAAATTTATTATTTCATTTCAGTATATGAGCATCTACTTTGCAAATCAGGGAAACTGAGCTACTGACACTAGGAACATTTTGGAAACCCCCGCAGTGCACAGCAGGGACAGTATGGTCCCATGACATCCTGCTTCCCCTGGTCTTGCTGCTCAGTATAGAAATAAAGAGGAAAGCCCGAAACAGAGGGAGAGCAACAGCTCCCCGACGCGGGGCAGGGGCCGCAGAGCTGGGGACCCACTGTCCCCGCCCTTACATGCTTGCAGTAGGGGTCTTATCTGGGTGGGCTCCCCCACCTCTGTCCACAAGCATTGAAGGGGTAACTAGATCCTCACCTCTACCCTAACTGCTGCACCCCACCCATGTCAAACTTCTCTCCACCAACACCCAGCCTCTGCCTTTGCCTTCTCACTGCCTCACTCTTTCTGGGCCTCTTTTGTAGGCAAATTGTTGTCTGTCCTTTGAGTCCCGAGTGCTGTGTCTTTTGGAACTATTCTAGCATGTATGATAGCGTTGCTCCTGTTAGTCTAAGGTCCTTATTTCTCCATTGTGACGATTAACTAATTGATATAGGGAAGGGGAAGCACTTCCTTGCTGTAGAATTCAAACTAATTAATGAAGAAGGAAGAGTGGAATTAGAAAATTACCATTTACAACTATCACAGTAATAACTGCTTCAGGTAAGAACCATCGGCTGATGCTACAATGAGTGGATGAATGTTTCATGTGGTGCATGATGCTTATATGCCTTATATTCCCTAAAACTATTCGCCAATTACAAAAGGATAAAAGTAACTTTATAATAGAAACACCTGGCATACATCACTGTAATCAAGTGGCCAAAGTCGGGAGTGAAGGAACAAAGCAACTTCAAGGGAGTGACGCAGTGAGAAGGCCACAGCATCACTTGAGTCAGAACCAAGCAAAAATGGACAACCTGACTCTCATCAGAGAACACCTGACAAACGAAATTACAGATGTTCTTACGCTCCTTAAGCCATGCCAATGCCCTGAGAGAGAAACTAAAGAAACATTTCAGGTTAAAGGGGACTATATAGACATCAAAATTAAATGCAATTTATGATCATGGGTTGACTCCTGAGCCCTAAAAAAAAAATGCTATAAATGATGCCATAAGACATCTGGAAAGCTTTTAATAGCATCTGTAGATTATGTAATTACATGAATGCTGAATTTTTTGTTTTTATTATTATGCTATGTTTATTTAAGAGATGATTCTTGGCAAGCACACTTTGAGACATTTAGCGACAAATGGGGTGTGATATCCAAAACCTACCTCTTTTAAAAATATGTGTATTCACATAGAGAGAAAACAACAAATCTAAGATGAGAAATTATTGGCAGTTGTTGAACATGGATGAAGAGTATATAAATTGGGGCCAGCTTTGTGGCATAACGGGTAAAGCCACCGTCTGCATTGCTGGCATCCCATATGGGCACGTTTGAGTCCTGGCTTCTTTGCTTCCAATTCAGCTCCCTGTTAGCATGCCTGGAAAAGCATCTGAAGATGGTCCAAGTTCTTGGCCCCCTGCACCCACGTGGGAGACCTGGAAGAAGCTCCTGGGCTCTGGCTTCTGCCTGGCCCAGCCCCAGCCATTGCAGCCATTTGAGGAGTGGACCAGCAGATGGAAGATCTCTTCCTGTGTCTGTCTCTGTCTCTCTTTCTCTTTCTATGTAACTCTGATTGTCAATAAATAAACAAATAAGGAGTACACAAATCTATACTAGTTTTGCAAGCTGTCTATACATTTGAAATTATTTCAAAATCAAAAGCTGAAAAAATAAAGTGTCAGATGGTTAGTGGATAAAACACAATGTGGGCCGGCACTGCAGCTCACTAGGCTAATCCTCCGCCTTGCAGTGCCGTTACACCGGGTTCTAGTCCCGGTCGGGGTGCTGGATTCTGTCCCGGTTGCTCCTCTTCCAGTCCAGCTCTCTGCTGTGGCCCGGGAAGGCAGTGGAGGATGACCCAAGTGCTTGGGCCCTGCACCCGCACGGGAGACCAGGAGGAAGCACCTGGCTCCTGGCTTTGGATCAGTGTAGCGTGTTGGCCGCAATGCATTGGCTGTAGCAGCCACTTGGGGGGTGAACCAACGGAAATAGGAAGACCTTTCTCTCTGTCTCTCTCTCACTGTCTAACTCTGCCTGTCAAAAAATAAAAAAAAAACACACACACACACAATGTGATATGACTACACATCCCTTGCATTGTTTGAACAAAATGCCAAATAACTAGCTTGAGAGAGGAATTGGGAGGAATGTAAATTGTCACAATCATTTGGGAAAACTATTTGGCAACATCTACTAAAATTGAACAGATCTGTATCCTATGACTCAGCAATTTCATGTCAAAATGGATACCTATAAAAATGGGTAAATATGCAAATTCACAAAAGTTATGCATTACAATGTACAATAGCATTATTACACTTCCTACTCACCAATTGGAAACTACTGGAATGTCCACCTAAAGTAGAACAGATAAACAAGTTGTGGCATATTCCCCAAATGGAACTTAAACAGCAATGAAAAATCAATTCCTTCTATTGACTAAAGTAGAGGACAAATCTCTCCAAAATATTAAGCAAAATAAATCAGACAAAAACAATATAGCCTGCATGGCTCCATGTACATGAAGTTCAAAGACAGGTAAAACTACGCTGTGGTTGTGGGAAGTCAGGAGAGGGATCCTCTCCCCGATGGGGAGGAGCGTCAGGAAAGCAATGTGACCCTGCTCTCACAGTTCTGCTCACGCTTTGTTGGTCTGGGTGTTCGCCACTCAAATGCCTCTCTCTGATGGCCCCTTGAGCTTCCCTCTGGGGTCCAGGCCCTTTTTGCAGTGTGTCATTCTGCAGGAAGGCGTCCGCATTCACAAGAGGAAGTGACAGTGACAGCGGCGCCTGATGGTATGTGCAGAGCACCGTCATCTTTGCCATGTGTGCACTGATGCAGGTTGGTCACGGCAGAGGTGCGAGCCAGCCCCTGGCCCCATTTCACAGGTGGAGAAACGGGGTCCGAAGAGATGGAACAGGCAGTGGCTAAGGAGAACTCAAAGCCAGGCCATCTGCCTGCCCACCGAGTCTGCCTTCTTGGGTGCTAGGTCCCACTGAGTCTTGCAGAAGGGCCTCTCTGGTGTAGAGAGGGCCTTGTCTATTCATTTCCACATCAAAGGGCCTCCCAAATAAACTCAGGATGTTAGGAATTATGCAAATGAGCTTTAAAAATCAGAGGCTCTGCTAATAAAGATGGAGAAAGGGATATCGGTGCCAAACTGAAACGTGATAATGAGGCTGATGTTAATGCCACTTCTCAGTCCTTATTTGCAAAATTAAGATCTGAGAAGGGGCGAAAAAAAACCACCCCAACCATAAAAGGCAGGGTGGATACCCACGAGAAAAGATGGTTGAAGAAGCACTAATGATCCAATTAAAAAATGGAAGGCAGCTCTGTGAGCCTTCCTCCAATTACTGCAGAATCTGAGTCCTGTTGTATATTCACTGCCGCAGGACAAAGTATAGAGGGAAATTAATGGTTTGATTTTATTTTTCTCTACCTGTGGCAGATACTTTTTGAATTATTAATCTGTGTTTTCTTTGCTGTATGTTTGGTCTTCCATCCCAAAGAGACTTTGGGTATGTTTGCTGCAGCAGACTGCAGAGCAGAAGAGACGAGCTGGATCTAACCGACCCGGGAGGGGGAACCTGGAAGAGGCAGGGATTTCCCAGAGAGATAGGAAGGGAGCTAAAGTGAAACGTTGGCCATATCAGGAGAAGCCTCCAGGAAAACTAAACCACAGGAGGACAGGCCTTAAGGCAAGCTGGATCTCAGGTTCAGGGGCCAGGGGCCGCCCCATTCTCGACATTTTGGAGTCCTGGGCTTCGGACTTGAAATCAGATGAGAGGGTCCACCTGGTGTCAGACCGTGAGCATCTTGGCAGCAAGTTGCATTCGTGTGTTTAAGACAAGAAGCACTAACGGAATTTGAGTGGTGAGGAAGCCTGAATACTGACTAGGACTTTGCTAATACCCAACCTTGCTGCTCAGGCGTTTGGGGTGAATTTGAGTTGAAATGAGGAAAATAAAGAGTGATGTTTCTTTCCCACCTGAGTCTAAGGATTTGGAAGTGTATCTCCTACATGCCAAACAGGTGGAAATTACCCCGTGTGGACTCCAAAAAGCATTTCGCATTGAGAAAAATCACTTCAATGCAAAGAGCATTATCTCCTTCGCTCGTCCCAGAACCTGCATCGTAATTCCCGAAGCCCTACTCTGCAGCGACAAGCAAGGCTCGGTTGACTCCATTTTCCTTTTCTTGACCTCGGGGCCCCATTGTTCATGAATTTCCGACGTTAGTATTTCTGTCAGGCAGGGCTGGGGTAAGATGATTTCCAGTTCTAACAAAACTGAATTAAATATTCAACCAAGAGCACGTCTCTCCTGTGAGTAGAGGTAAGAGTGAAACTTAACGTGGTTATTGCTGTTCTCATCCATGTTCTAAATCAGGTGTAGCAAGCCAGCGTATTTAAACTTACCTGGGAGCCGACTGTTACTGCTACCATGGGCAGTACAGAGCTATTCAAGCACAGGACTGGGTAAACTATGAGTCATCAAGGATGCTGGTAAGGGAAGCCTGGATGAGTAGGAAACACACAGCAATGATCATTACACACCATTAGGGCATTCGCAGAGAGGGAACTCCGCCCAGAACAGGTGAACACAAAACATCACGGGGCCAATACACCAGCATCTGGACTCTTGGGATAAGGTCCTCCTCCCCACAACACTCCCTGCAGGCACTGGCCATGGAAAGCTGCAGTGGGCGATCACTGGCTAACAGGGCACACGGCTGTTGTCTGGTGGCCAAGCAGAATGCCAAAGCTGGGGAGCAGAAGAGGACGCCTAGTGAGACCCGTGAAGTAACCTGGAAACACAAGGCACCGTTTCTGTGGCATTTTTGGCTGAAGCATTATGACCTTTGGAATACGGAACCCGCAGCACAGCTCTGAAGGAATTCAGCCTGTTAAGCTGGCTGCTGTAGAGTTGAGGGCTGTGGGTCGTGCGGATAAAGGGGAGCTTAAGTTTGGGTCCTCTGCACAAGTGAGAGCTGAGTCCCTCCTCCCTCGTTGCTTGCCTTGGTGACCTTGGGCAAATGACTTCACCTTGTTTTGAGCCTCCATTTCTTCATCAGTAAACCGATGACCTCCCTCAAAAGATTCTTGCGAGGATTCAATGAGATTGTCATGAGAGATTGTATCAGTCATGTGGTACAAGCTTGCAAAGCTTAGCTGTTGTTCTTCCCGAAGAGTATGTAGGGGTGCCTTCCAGCCATCTGTGGCCCTGTCAACTTGGATATGGGAAAGCAAAAAAAAAAAAAAATTAAAAAAAGGTGTCCTGGGATCAGCCTGAGGGAGAAATGAGGTCACAAACGATAATAATTCATATATTCCTGGATCTTGACTTCCGATGTATAATTCGGGACCTCTGGATCCACCTAACACTTCCCGTGTTCTCCTGAGCTTACTTAGTGTCCCTCCACAACCCTCCCTGATGGAAGGTTCAGAGAGAAGTAAGGGCAGGCAGTGCAGTCTATTGAACACTTACCCTGTGCTAAGCCTCTTTCCATGCCTTACCACAATAAACCCTCAAACACCATGGGAGATCGGCAATAACCATCCTCATCTTGTAGGTGTGGACATAGGCCCTACCAGCTGAAGTAACTGACACACTATCATAGAGATACAAAGTGGAACTAAGAATGCCTGTGCCCCCACCAGCACTCTTCATACTGAGACTGTTCTCCCAAAGGTATCGTGTGTAAGCCACTTTCACAACTACCCTTTTCAGCTTTATCTCACCCATGAAAATCAACTCATTCACACAGATGTTCACTGACCAACAGGCTGAAGTCATGGTGAGAGCGATGTCCACAGGACAAGCTCAGATGCCTTGAATCCAAGTGGGGACCAAAATTACATTCAAAATGAGCCACTGTCTCCCCATGACACAGATCAGGGCATTCATTAACAATGGAGAAATTGCAGATGAGCCAAGAGCCCAGTGGCTTGCCCCAGTGTTCAAAGAGGCTATTAAGAAAAAGTTAATAGACTCAGAGAAGTCTACCAGGTAGAGACGCCATTAATACAAGATAAATAATGATAGCAAGGTGGATGAGAGGCTCATAAGTTCTCACTTGCTTATTAAGGATGGTATCTCTTGGACTCCCATTTATAATGTGTATGACTGCATATAGATGAATTATAAACATTTGCTTTCCCTAAATACCAAGCATTGCTGCTATTTCTCTCTGATGCAGAAAAATTAAGTCATAACAGAATGAATTAAGATTCTGTTTACCTTCCCATTATCAAAGAGAATCCTTGATAACTGAGAGGGAACTTGGATCCAAGTTTCTCTTTGTGCATTTGAGAAAACTTCCAATTTAGGCCAGACTAGGATTTCGGATGATTTGAAATTCAAACATACTATTGGCACACAAACATCATTTACTCCTCACCACGGACACTCTAATCAAGGCGTGAGTCATCTGTTCAAAGCCAACAACTGATTCGCCTTTGTAATGAGCTGACACAGAATCCTGATTTAGAGGGATTCCAGCTGCAGGTCTCTGCGATATTTCAGTCCTTAACTCTCACAATTAATATACATATTACAAAACAGTATTGATTGTTTTCCATCTGTATCTAGAACACCTTTTGACCTATCTGTTGAGGAGAGATTTCTTTTTTTAAAATCACTTAATGAGCTGGCATTGTAGCTTAGCAGATTAAGCCTATCCTACAATACTGGTATCTTATTAGAGTGCTGGTTTGAGTCCCAGTTGCTCCACTTCTAATCCAGTTCCTTGCTAACATACCTGGGAAAGTAGAAGATGGCCCAAGTGCTTGCTTTGCCACCCACATGGGAGACTCAGACAGTTTCTGGCCCCTGGCTTCAGCCTGACCCAGCCCCAGCCATTTGGGGGAGTGAACCAGAAGATAAAAGAGCTCTCTTGCTTGCTCTTTAATTCTGCCTTTCAATTAAATAAGTCTTTTTTAAAAAGATCATTTAAAACCACTAAGATTTTATATGCTGACTCTAGATAAAACAATTATGCTCTAGGATGATGAAAAAAGACGGACAAGGTTAGGGGAACTCTAGAGCTGAAGTCCCTACTGCGTTCCCCGGGGAGTATACAGGATTTATAAGGAAGCTCTTTTGTCCAACAAGGTGCCCAATTCACTGAGCAGGAATGACTAAGAGGACTGCTTAGATGGAGAGGATTGAGGGAACCATTATAGATCCTGCTCATACCTCTGGAGTGTTGGGACAGCCTGTGGGAGTTCTCCAGCTTTGAGAAGGGCATAGAACTGGCTGTGACACCAAAACCATAGAGACCACTGAACTGGCTGTGACACCAAAACCAACTTCACAGTTGGCACTTGAGCATGCGGATGCAGCCACTCTCAAGCCAAAGGCTGCCACGGAGCAGCCACGGTCAGCAGCAAAGGGTCACATAGCCACACTCGGTGGAGACAGATGACAACACAGGGTGGTGTTACTCCATGCAGTCCGGCCTGTCCCACCACCACAGCCTCCACTTGACTCCAGGAACTTCAAATATGCCTGGTGAGAAGGCTAGAGAGAAATCCAAAGTATAGAGAAACTTGGGCAACACTGGAGCACTCAAAAAACGCTGCATTTTTAACCAGAAGTGATTACATTTTCCCTAATTCCATTTTCCAGTGCATAATGGGAGTGAATGATTGAGAGTGAAATTTAATCAGGTGATAGAAGAATAAAGTTGTGTTTTTGCACATTTGAGTGGAATAAAATCAGCTCTAAACACAGTGCCTGGGTTAGTAAGTGCCCAGTAAAGTTTGACTGCTGTAGCTTCCAATGCTATCATAGTTGTTGTTACCATCAGTGTTACGCTGTGTGTGCCTACAAGCAGGTGTGGTATCTGTTGTTGCTGTATCTCCAGGGTTTATCGCAGAACACATGTGCTGAATGAATGACTCAAGACCTGAATTGTCCCCTAGCTGGCACTCAATGCAACCTGGTGTCAAGGTGAGGTCTCCTTTAGCCTAGGTTTCTGACTGATAAGAGAGCTCAACCATCAGTGTTCAGCTGATTGCTGCATGAGAAAGAATGCCATTTCTATCATGCTAAGCCACAGAGACTTCAGAGCTGCTTGTTACTGTACCACAACACACAGCATCCTGATACAAATGAAACTTAGAAATGGACTTAGATGTGGTAGAAAATTCCAGAAGGGAAGTAGTAAGGCTGGGCAGAGTCCTGGCCTCCCCTGGCCAGCCATGTGACACGGACGCCATCTCTTCCCAACCTCAGGTCATCTCTTTTGGCAAAATCAGGGTTTGAAGAGAAGACCCACTGCAGCTCAGATCACCTGTGAGCTTCAGTTTCAGAAATCATTAACTCAGCGATGGGAAACGGGCAAACACATCCTATAAAAGACCAAGTTACAGGATCTCCTTAATCTACCATCCAATCTTCTATGAGCCGCATGTTGAGATGACCGGGATGACAAGAGACAGGTCCCTTTCTCAAGGATGTGTTCATGGAGCCAGGAACAACAGACAGGACATCAATCCTCAAAGAGTTCAGCCCCTTGGTCTCATGGGCTGATTCATGGGCTGAGCCAGGCCACAGCCAGGAGCTTCTTCCTGGTCTCCCGCATGGGTGCAGGGGCCCACGTACTGGGCCATCTGCTGCTGCTTTCCCAGGCCATGAGCAGGGAGCTGGATCGGAAGCAGAGCAGCCAGGACTTGAATTGAACTCTTACAGGAGATGTGAGCTTCCCACACAGCGGCTTAACTCTGTATCACAATACTGTACCACTCTGCTTTTTAATCTCCTCATTTTTCACTTAATACATTGTGAGCACAATCCTGAGAAATTAAATCCTTTTAATAATCTTTACAGCAGTCTAGGGAATGAAGATACATAATCAGCTTAGAGAAGACCCTAAAGCGGACATCCAGGTGTCTTACTACTTTACGACAATATACACAATTTGATGAATACATAAAGTTCATGAAAACGAGTCTTATGAAAAAATGATGCATGCATTGCAAAATTTTGTGAACCAAAATAAACTTTTAATTCTGCTTTCCACAAACATTTTGAACTGCCCTCATATATTTGTAGCTATCTTTTTCCTGAGAATGGATTCCTAGCAATTAAATGAATGAACAAAAATCATGTATTTTTTTTTTGTTAATTGGTTTTGATATACAGGGCCAGATTTTTGTTAATTTTCAACTCCAATGGCAATTCCTGAATGTGCCAAATTCCCCAACTTTCATCCCCCGGGTATGAATTATTATTTATATTTGTGTATCACTTATACTGGTCTGCTGGGTTCCTTCCTTTGATTCTAATTTGAAATATTGCCTTATCTATTAAGGATATTGATGTTCCAATCTATCAAGTGTATTACAAATACTTTCCTAGTCTTTCACTTATGTAGTATTAAAAATATTTTTTTAATTAAACAGATACACAGAGCACTCCCATATGCTTATACATCCCCAAAAGCCCACAATGCCTCAGCCTGGGCCGGGTCAAAGCTGGGAGTCAGGATCGTAACCTGAGGCTCCTGCCTGGGCAGCAGGGACCTCACTACTTGAGCCGTCCCCGTCTGCCTTCCAAGGTGTGCATTAGTAGGACGTGAGGACTGAGTGCCGGGACTTGAACCAGGGCACTCCAATCACTGACTTCAGTGCTAAACCAAATGCCTGCCCCCAGCTGAGACGTTTGCTGTGGAAAATGACTGCATGACTCCCCTGCGGAGAGGGAAAAGCTAGTCTTGAAGGAGAACTAAGCTGGAGGAGGTTGTCGGGGGCACAAGTCGTGTTCTCCCTTGGTCATCAGTGGTTGCAGAGCGGTAATCACTGTGAAGATTCACTTGAGGACCTTTCTGCAGGAATAGCTATTTTATACAAGAGTGCAGATGCTTACAAAACAACCTCAGTCACTAACATCCGCTACCTGCCAGGAGAAAATTTCCCTAATAAGCTCCTATTTCTTACCTTGGTGTGGAGAATAGTACAGTGGTTAAAAAATATTGGAACAGGGGCTGGTGCTGTGGTGCAGCAGGTTAAAGCCCT